GTTCAGTAGACGAAAAAGCCACGCCCACTGTTTGCTCATTTAATATTCCGTCTGTTTAGGAACTGCATCACAATATGAGCGAGAAAAAAATGGCACTGCTTCCAGTTCATGTGGACTTTAAATCGTCAAGCATTTGCTGTGATGAACAAACACTGAAACAGCAATCTGAATACTCTTAAACATCTCTCCACACGTATAAATATTAAACAATTATTGACATTACTATGAAGTGCCCATGATATCAATACTGAGTGTGTTCATGATCACAATTTATGATTACTGTATATCGGCAGATCTGAGGTCACATGACATAGCAGCAGCGAAGCAGGAAGTGGTGTTGTGGGTAAATAAAGTAACACACGCACGCAGGCACGCACACACACACACACACAGATCAAAGCGTGTGCAGAGAATAGATGTCTGACCTCGTCCTGGTGAAAGTAGGGCTGTTCGATCTCTCTCAGAGGATCCTTCAGGTAGCGGAACATGTACTCCTGCACCTTATTACTGTCTGCAGCCCACAGCTCCTGAAACACACACACACAAACAAACACACAATCACACACATTAACAAATATACATTAGAGTGCACACACACACACACACACACACACACACACACACACACACACACGCACAAACAAACACTACAAAATACATATACACACAGACACAAACAAACACACACACAAACACACACATAAATGCAAACACTTACACAAGTACACAAGTACACACACAAACAAACACACAGACAAACACTACAAAATACATATACACACAGACACACAGAGACACACAAACATACACAAACACACACAAACAAACAAACAAACAAAAAGACACACAAGCACACATACCCATGTTTAACGCCATGTCTCCTCTTTATGTTTAGACACTGTGATGTGTGTCTTTGTCACATTCGGTGTTTGGGTTTAGTTTTTCTGTTTATTTATGTCTGTTATCATTAATTGTGCTTGTGCGTGTGTGTGTACAGGAGATCGCTCACAGTACGGTGGATCTGGGTACCACACTGGAGGATCAGATGAACACACTCAAACAATACGAGCACGACATCATCAGCTACAAACCCAACATCGACAAGCTGGAGGGAGACCACCAGCTCATACAGGAGTCGCTCATATTCGACAACAAACACACCAACTACACCATGGAGGTACACACACACACACACGCGCACACACACACACACACACACACACGCGCACACACACACACACGAACACAGGTCTATGTACTCTACTGCAGCATCCCACACATCGTGTGTGTGTGTGTGTGTGTGTGTGTGTGTGTGTGTGTGTGTGTGTGTGTGTGTGTGTGTGTGTGTGTGTGTGTGTGCATGAGTGTGTATGTGTGTGTGAGAGAAAGGGAGTGAGAGTGTCTGTGCATGTCAACTTGTGTGTGTGTGTGTAAGTACATGTCACAGTGTTTGTGAAAAAGGGAGAAAGAGAGAGAAACATAGTGCGTGTGTGTGTGTGTGTGTGTGTGTGTGTGTGTGAGTGTATATATATATTTGTATATAAATGTTACAATATATAAAAATACTTAAGAAACATATTTCAAAGTTAATGTGGTTTAATTTTATAACAACTGCACCTTTCTTCATCTTCATGCACTGTAGCAAGATATTTAATTTCACATTGTTAAAGCAAATCTGCTAAATTATTAGCAGAAGAGAAACAGAAAGATGAAAAAATAAAGTAAATCAACCAATAAACCAGTCAATCCATCAAAAAAATATGAAAGGAACAGTCATTAGAAGCTGAATCATATTAATGCTGTTTATTCAAAGACGAAAAAAAAAAAACTTTTAAATTACTTTTTTTTCATAGTGAGTGTATTAAAATGAGTCTTGATTATTGAATCATACTATAATTTATATATCACAACAATGAATTA